GGACAGAGCTCAGTCCTCTGGGGATGTTTGTTGCTGGCACAATGTTCCTGCAATGGAGGCTGATCTTCCGGGGGGCTATTTTGCTTCTCCTTGGAGATAACTCACCGAGAATCCTCGAGGCAGCAGTGATGACAGCAGAAGGAATGATTACCACAAACAGGCTGATATCATTTCACCCCATGGCCTTAGGTAAGTTATTAATTCCTTAATCATGCTCTGGTAAGAGTGAGTAGCTCCTAAACATTTAATAAATGCAATACTCAAGTCTTCCCAGCATGAAGTTTTTGCACAAGTAAATTTTAGTTTTGTCAGAGAAGAAGAAAGTATCTACCTAGAGAATATTTTTTTTCTTCTTCTATCTGGAGTTTCATGCCAGAAGTTTTGGCTCATGGTGCCTGAGGCTGAGTTCTGCAGGAGCTGCCAGCCCTGCCTGCATGGCATGATTGCTTCCTTCTCCTGGAAAAGACAATGAATGAGGAATTCTGTTTTTTATGGATTTTCTTGGCATCCTTTTACTTGATTTCTTCTGATTTTCCTTGTTTCTTTCCTGCTCTGGACTATGTATAGTGAAGAGTTTTTTGTCCCATTCATCCTACTCCCTCCATTTCTTATCAATATTTTCTGAGGGTTTTTTCTCCCTTATGTTCCTTTAAAAAAATCTAATTTGACATCCACAGACTGTTCACACAGACTTTTCAGCAAAGAATCTAGGAGAAATGAGGACACACACTGTGGGAGTGTGTCAGGAAATGCATGCAGTGCCATCCAAGTATTACCTCATTACAGGTACTTGTAGGTAATGTCATCCAGCACAGAAGGGTGAGGCTTCTGCAGGGCTGCCCTGTCACTTGGGAGGGAAGAAAAACACTCCATCAGTAGTGATTTTGTTTTGCTAAGCCATCACTGTAAACATTGCTATTTATTTTCCTCTAAGTACAATGAATGTGATCTGATCTCTTTTGCTTCTAAAATCTACAATAGTTTTTTTTTTTTTTTAAATCTTACTGCACTTGTAGACTGATTTTTCCAGTTTTTCCAGGCAGCAATTCTCTCCTTGCTCTTACAAAGAAAAAATTACATTTTTCCTTATTGGTGGCAAGTTGGCAGAGAAGTTCCTGGTCATGAGGAATTAGAGGCAGGGACAGACAAGCTGCTGAATAACTCTGTGGGACTGGGACTGTTGCTGCTGTAAATTCTCAGCACTTCTTTCCCTTCACACAGGAGCACACGGGTAGTGTGAGTCAGTGACCCTTGTCTGCAGGGTGCAGGCTGAAGCTCTTTGGTGAAAGAAGGAATATTTCTTAATGGGAATACCTGGGGAGATGATTCCCCCCTCTCCCTCTAGATGCCAGCAGAGCACTAGCCTTGCTGTGAGGCATTGCCTCGTGGATGTATTTCAGAAGAACAGTGTTAATTTGTAATGCTGCTTGATTGCTTTTTAGAGAGGTTGGGATTAACAGATTGTCCTGTTCAGAACAAACTCTGCATCCTTTGGAGAGCTGATGAAAAGAAAAAGCACCCGGAGTTTAAACATGTTTTTTTATGAATATCTGTTTCTGCAAATACAAAACATGTTCTCACCTGTGTTATATCTCTCTGTATTTCACAGGTAAAGAACGAATCAGAGGCTTCTTGGCAAGCAACATCCTGAGCCCTCAGAGACTTGTAACTCCACACAAACGTGTTGTTCCAGAGATAGATCCCCGTGGAGGAGTACAGCTGTGGCTGAGCTTGTGTATCCTGCCTTGGAGAGGCTGATGGAGCCTGGGGTGTGGTGTGAGCTCCCTGCCTTGGGCCCATTTAATGTCTGGGACAACTCTGAAAGTGGGGTCCCTTCTGGTGCTGAGATGGATCAGGCTGAAGCACCTTGTTCCACTGCTCTGGGCTTTCCCACATGCCTCAGGGCTCTCAGGGACTGCTTCTCTAACGGCATTTGTTGCACCAAAAGCAAGGTGTCCCTCTCTGCTCCCTCACAGCCAGCAAGAGTTCTGGCCCTTAAAGAGCCTTTTCTTTCCTGTATGGAGGGGATCAGCTTCATTTCCCAGAGTGTTTCTGTGAGACTCAGTGACTGATTTTCAAGTGCTGTTAGAGATGGAGCATTGTGCACTCCTGCCCTGACAGCCAGGGGATGCACCCACAGGCACCGTTGGCTGTTGTGGACTCTCTTTGCCTGGGCTTGGTTCTTTGGAAAGAAGACATACACGTGAATGGGAAAGGATCTTGCAAGACTTTGTTCTGAGAAAGAGAGAGAAAAGCTACACAAACTGTTCAAAAACTGTATTGCAATGCTCTCTGCACTTCCCCCGAGTGATCTTCCTCTCGAGAAACAGAACAGGTGGAGCTGCATAACAGTAAGTGAAGTATTAGTTCTATTTTTTTATATGTTGGCTTTTGATAGTTCTTAAAAATTGTTTTCAGAGATGTTTGGGTATTCCAGTCACTCTACCAAAGGCTGATGTCTTTGAAGCTGGAGGTACAAACGGGATTTGCTGTTGAGTGCAATCAGAAAAAGGGGGAGGAACAAGCAGGTGGAGCAAAGCTGGGCAGCTCCTAACATGGGTTATTGGGAATATTGCCCTGCAGCCCCCAGGTTGCTTTGCTCCCCTGACTGCCCCAGTCCTGAGCAGCGCTCTGAGAGCTCCCTCCACTGGAAAAAGAGTTCAGTTGGTCATTACTAAAATGAATCCTGGTGAAAATACAGCGTGATAGTAGGAAAAATGAAAAATCTGCATTTGAAGCACTGATATTTCCCATAGGTGTTGCTAAATACAAATCCCATGGTTTTAACCCTGCTGTCACACCTCATACGTTCCACTTTGCACTTGTGGAAGAGCTGTGTTAAAACCAGGAAAAAGAGAGGCACTGCCCTGGCTGGGGCATCTGTGCTTCAGGATGGTTCATCAGCTCAGATGGAATTGGGGTGTTGAGGGTCACTCTAAGTTGGAACAAGTGGAGACTTATATAATTGTGTGGCTCCCAGGAAGGGCACCTTGAGATTGGGAAGCTCTAATGTGTTCCCTTGGAAATTCAGGAGAAGCTGGAGTGAGAACTGCTTGGAGAAATCAGTTGTGATGAACTTCCTAGTTCAGTGATTATGAGCTGCAGTGTGGTAAAGGGTACTGAGATATGTCCTCCCAATATCTCATTTAAAATGATGTCCTCTTGCTTTGGACTAACTCATATTTAAGTTGGAGCAATCTTTATTTTCAGTTGCAGTATCCTTTTTTTTTCCTACCCTTCTCTGGAGCTAATCTTTGAGATAATATAAATTGCCATTCAGATCTCTTATTTTGCTTTGTTTCTGGTAAAAGCAAACATCCCAGTCAAGGTTTCCTAGAGCTATGCTGCACAAACACAAGGGAATATGTGATCTCTTCCCCAGTTTGGGATAATGAGTCTTCGGCTCATTTACTCACTGCAAATGACAATCATATGTAGCCGTTCACTAAATCCTCTGGAAAATGCAGGAAAAGCCAGGCTAGAAATAAGCATAAAAATAAATATAAAAACCTAGGTCCAAACAGCAAAAAGTCTGAACTACCAGAATGTGAAAATAAGAGATTTTCAAAGTGAAAGGTGACACCATCCTGTCTTCTTCATTTGCCTTTCACTTGTATTATGAGTTTGAGTCATGGGGCTCAGCCAAGCTTGGGACAGACATGGCAGGAATCTGTATCTGTCCAGTCATTCCCAGTGCAGTGCTGAGGAGAGGACAAATTCCCAGGAAGGGAATGCAAGGCCATAGTGGTGAGAAGGCACAAGCCTCCTTCTGCCACATACAAAATGAAAGCTCTGGGGACATCAGAGAACGCAAATCTACCATAATAAAAACCTTTTTTTACTACACGTTGAAAGTTCATTCCAAAACAACAAAAGGAGTTAATTTCTCAGGCTAAACATTGTAGATGGTAAAGACAACACCAAGATCCATGTCTTTAAAAAAAAACAGAACACAGCTTTTATTTCTGAAGCATTAAAAACTCCAAAAGAATGGAACAGAGACTCTTCTATACAGTACAACACCTTCCCCTCAGAGTTCAGGGGGGTTTTATGCATTGTGTCTGTACAGCAGCAGGAACAGGCAGCTCCTGGAACTGAAGCCTATGGGGAAATATCAGACTGGGACACCTCTTTGGATTCTAATGGCAAGCTCAAAGTTGGGATGGTCACCATCTGTTACTATGATTGTACAGAAATTGGCACCCAGGAGTTCGTTTGAAAGGTGTCTGCAGAACTGTCTGCTGCTACTGCAGAGCATTTGGGTTTTTCAAGTCTCAGCAGCACACGCATGAAATTGCTTCATTACTTGGCTTTTTGCCCCTGGATGAGGGAAATCATCAGCTGCTAAATCTGTAGATGGGACGGATGACTGGGACAAAACATCCTCTCTGCTTAAAATCCACTGGGAGGCAAATCATCACATGTGGGTCACTGCTGCACTGCAAACCCCCCACTGCCTGTGAGCTTGTTTTGGGGAAGCACTTGGGAGGCTCGTTGTGGACAACCTCATAAGAAGTCAGAACAAAACAATCACCCCTGCCCTAAAGATCCTGCACAATCTGTGACTACCATTAAATTTCATGTCTCTTTTTTTCTTAAGTTAGGTTGATCATGTGCCTTTACTTAGAGGAGTTAGATCTGTGCAGCACCTTGTCACTGAGCCTACTCACTCCTTTCAGCTTTATTCTCTTTATGGATAATACCTTTAAAAACTGAACCCCCAGCTTTGCTCTGTGAATAAAAGCAGAGTGTGTCTTGCTCGGCTTAATGCACCTTGGATTACAACTCTCATCTGGCTGTGTTCATGAGAGATACTGGAGGCAGACAGCTGGCCAGGCAGCCTCTCACTGTGTGAAATTTATGCTACTCTATTTGTATGTGATTACAAAAACAACTTTTCAAGGTTAGTGTGCAGGCTTGCTGCTGCTTAGCACAGGAACAGGAGTCCAAAGACTTTTTTCTGGTTGACTACCTTCATTATTAGTTTTTCTTCTTTTTTTGGTGGTTTTCTCTCCCTTAGAAACGTCAGGGTTATGGAATCTGATGTTCATAGTTTTACTGAAGCACAGTTTCAGAGTCTCACAAAACCACACCAAGGCGATGGAGATAGTGAACTTTGAATGCATGGAACAATCACCCAGAGCTAATTAGTGGTTTGCAGTTTTAAGGGATAATCAAATGCTGGGTTCTTGTAGGAGACTAAGTGTGTACCATACTGCTCACTCTGAGGCTTTTTACATGCCTTACACAGACATACAGATAAAATAATTGTGGTAATGAGAAAGAGTCCACTTGCTGCAGACAGACCAGCAAAAACATACTTGTAGCTGGGTTTTGTTTTAAAGCTGGTGCACGAGTTACCTGGAATTTCCTGGCCGGTTTTCTGGCTCGACCCTGCTTTGTTGGAGGCAGTGACACAGATGTGGTAAGTGGTGAATGGCAGCAGGTTATACAGAGTGTGCTGCCTGGCCGTGGGGTAGATGTTGTCCATGACAAACTGCCTGTCCTCGTCGTCTTGGGCACGAAGCACCAGCTCATAGCTGTGAACAACTGAATATGGGGCACACCAGCGGATCTGTGCAGAGCTGTCAGTGATCTCAATCACCTCTCTGAGCCTGGGTGGGTCTGGAATCTCATCTTCCCTCGACGTGCCAGGACATGAACACTGGGATACGTTCTGGAGTTCCCTGCACGGCTTCTGCAGGTGCCTGCAAGGATTGTAGTCACAGGCCACGTGGGCCGTTTGCACCGGGGTTTCCTTTGGCTGATCCCCATAGTCGTAGTCATCGGTGTAGTGTGGTGGTGGCGTGCTAGGTGCAGGCCCTGGGTGGGCACTGCTCCTCGTGGAGATCAGCTGGGGGGCACCTTCCCTGCCGTGGGTGGCAAAGGAGCGAATGTGGTGGTTGGTGGTGTGTGGGACTCCTGTTCCTCCAGTGGAATAATCACTGGTGGTCTGGTTGAATGGCCTTTCCTGGGGGAATGTCATGTGGGTTGTTCTGAGCCCTCTCTGTAGCTGTTCTGTTCCAGTTGGGCTTGGGGAGCTGTGATCTGGGGACTGAGCAAAGAGCTCTTGGAAAAAAACTGGGAAGGACGTAACAGGTGCTGAGGAAGGAGGATTGCTTGTGGATTCAGAAACTGCCTTTTCCTCGTGGGAGGAACTGTTGGCCTTTGTTGGGATCAGCTCTGTTGGGTTGGATGCTGCAGTGCTCATCACATCCCTCTGGACCAGGGAGCTGGTATAGGTGTCTTTGGTTGCCATTGGGTTGGATGCTGCAGTGGTCCTTGCATCCCTCTGGATCAGGGAGCTGGTATAGGTGTCTTTGGTTGCCATTGGGCTGGATGCTGCAGTGCTCATCACATCCCTCTGGATTATGGAGCTGGTATAGGTGTCTTTG